AGGAAGAAATGAGAACCAGAAATGGTAAATAAACAGACTGACCTAACAAACTCCATTAATATTTATTTGCTCTTATTTCTTCTCTCAGCTCCCCTAAAAGGGGTAAGATTATTTACAGTCATACTTATAACAATGTATTGTTGAATATGTGACATATATAAATGTAATAAAACCAAAAAGGGATGAGGGAGGAGTAAAGTTTCTATATCTGACTGGAATGAAGTTAGTTTAAACTGAAGTAGATTCTGATAAGATATAGATTGTAAGCTTTAGAACAGCCATTAACTAAAAAAAAAATTGGTAATAATAAATGGAGTTAAATGTTACTCTAGAAAATATCCATTTAATATATACAATATATTCTACAAAGTAGAATAGAGGAGCAACAACAACAACAAAACCTCCAAATGTGAGACATGTAGAAAACAAAAGGTAAAATGACATAGATCCTACCATATCAATAATAAAATTAGATGTGATTTAATGAAACAATCCAATCAAAAGGCAGGATTATCAAACTGGATAAAAAAAAACAAAAAAAAATGTGTGGACAGGAGGTACTCCTTAGATTTAGAGATACAAATATATTCAAAATAAAAGATGAAAAAATGTACATCATACAAATAGCAACCAGAAGAATGCTGTAGTGGCTAGACAAATACTGGACAAAATAGACCTTAAAACAAAGACGAAAAGGAGTTGCTGGATATAAGAGGGAGATTTCATGATGCAAAAAGGGCCTAAACTGAGGTACCTGGGTGGCTCAGTTGTTAAGCCTCTACCTTCGGCTCAGGTCATGATCCTAGGGTTCTGGGATGGAGCCCCGCATCTGGTTCCCTGCTCAGCAGGAAGCCTCCTCTTCCCTCTACCATTACCCCTGCTGTGTTCCCTCTCTCGCTGTGTCTCTCTCTGTCCAATAAATAAAACCTTTAAAAAAGAAAAGAAAAAAAAAAGGTCAATCCATCAGAAGACATAAAAATTGTTAATATGTGCAACTTGTAAGAGAACACCAAAATGTGAGAAGAAAATAGCAAAATACATGAAGAATTTAAGGGAGAAATAGAGAATTCAACAATATTAGTTGAAGACTTCTATACCTCCGAGTCAGTAATGGATAGATAAAGTAGGCAGAAGATTGACAACTAGGTAGAAGACTTGAACCACACCACAAATTAACTAGACCTAACAAAGATCTGTAAAACACTCAGCCCAACAAGACTTAGATTCATCATCTTCTCAAGTACATATGTAACACTCTCCATGGTAGATCATGTTCTAGGCCATAAGATGAGATTGAAACCCACACACACTGTAGGTGGGAATGTAAATACTGCTGTCATTTTACAAAATGGTCAGACAGTTTCTCGGAATGTTGAGCATAAGAGTTATTCTGTGATCCTGCACTTTCTGCTACAAGATATATACTTAGCAGAAGTAGAAACTTAGGTGCACACAAAAACTTTCACGTGAATGCTCATAGAAGCATATTAATAACGTCAAAAAGTGGAAATAACCCAAATGTCAATAAGAAATGTGTAATATTCATACAATGAGCTATTTTTGAGCTATAAAAAGGAATGAATTATTGATACATGTTACAACATGGATGAACCATGAAAGCAATATGCAAAGTGAAAAAAACCACTCACAAAAGACCATATATTGTATAACTCCATTTATTATAAATGCCTGGAATAGGCAAATCTGTAGAGACAGAAAGTAGATGAGTGGTTGCCTAGGGCTGAGGGGTTGAAGACAATGGCAAAAGACTACTGATGTGTCTTGACTTTTATGTGGGGGAACAAAAATCTTCTAAAATTGGGTTTTGGTGATGGTTGTACAACTCTGTGGATTGCACTGAATTGCTTACATTAATGGGTGAAATGATGGCAAATTATGTTGTGTAAATTATATCCCAAAGCTGTTAAAATTATGATAAATTTTATGCTTAGAAATTTGGAAATTCATCCATGATTACAATTTCTTAAAAAAAAAATGCAGCCTAAAAATAACCCAAGAAAGAAAAGAGTATCTAATAACCCCAGGTAAGTACATTTACAGAAAACAATTTCCAGGGATAAGTGACTTTCTTGGTAAATTCTTCCAAATATTTAGGGAAGAAATAGGAATCTTAAAAAATTTCCAGGAAACAGAAATAACAGAGTACACTACTTAAATCTTTTTTTTTTTTTTAATGAGGCCATCATAAACTTCAGACCAAAGCTGAAAAGAATATTACAAGAATGGAATCACAGGCCAATTTCTCTTCTGAACATGCATGCAAAAATTGTAAACAAAAGCACAAATAGTATCCATGGTATGTAAAACTATAATACATCCCAACTGAATTGGTTTTATTCTGGTATTCAGCTTACTGTCCAAACATAAAATAGATCTCAGGAATAAACTCAAATGGAAATAATTCATGTAAAAAAGAAGTCAATAAAAAAAAAGAAAGTCAATCAGGAGAAACACAAGAATGAATAAGCACAACAGATAATGCCTTATAAAAAATAGATGAAAAATATTCCATAAATTACTGAATATTCTAAAATTTTAAAATAAAAAAAGCAGTTGAAAAAGATTCAAGAGAAAGTGACAAATACTGAATATAGGCAAAAAAAAAATCAAATATACAAATGATAGGAGCACCTAAAGAATAAAAGCAAGGAAAGAGAACAAATACTAACAGTATAATTTAAGAAATTTTCTAAAATAATAATAGTAATAGTAAAAATAACACTAATAGAAACTGCATTTTGAACAAGTATATTACATACCTGGAATAGTAAGTCAGAATGATCAACACCAAGTTGTATTCTAGAGAAATTTTAGACCTAAAATGGGAGGTTGGAATTCTAATTCTAACAAAACTAACTTTTAACTATAAAGGACATGGACCAACTATTAACCAACACGCAAGAGGTCAGGTTATCTGAATTCCATGAACCCTTATGAGGGAAACTATTAAAGAAAGAGTATCACACGGCCGAAGTGACCAGAGATAATCAATATAAGTATGACTGATGAACATTAAGTGTAGTACTGCTTGTAGAATGAGAAGTAAATAAGGGTTAAACAGGAAAGACTATCGTATGCAATGGCTGTAAGCTCTGGCAATGTAGGTATTAGTCCTGTAAGTGACAGAGAAACAATGAACAAGCACCAAATGAAGTTAAAACTGTTTTCAAGGGGCGCCTGGGTGGCTCAGTGGGTTAAAGCCTCTGCCTTCAGCTCAGGTCGTGGTCCCAGTGTCCTGGGATCGAGCCCCACATCGGGCTCTCTGCTCAGCGGGGAGCCTGCTTCCTCCTCTCTCTGTCTCTGCCTGCCTGTCTGCATACTTGTCTGTCAAATAAGTAAATAAAAATCTTTAGAAAAAAAAACCTGTTTTCAAGCATTGTATATTGAAATTGCAATTCTGAGTCTGTTCTGTGAGTAATATGGAATGGAACAAATGAGGAATTATGGAGTATTCTATTTTTTTAAAAAAAAGATTTTATTTATTTGGAAGAAAGAGAAAATGTGCATGCACAGGAGGAAGAGCAGAGGAAGAGAGACAAACAGACTCTGCACTCAGTGTGAGCCCAGTACAGGGTTCAGTCTCACAACCCTGAGATCATGACCTGAGCCAAAATCAAGAGTTCAATGCTTAACTGACTGAGCAACTCAGGCATCCCTGAAGTATTCTAGTTATAACATCTGTGAGCTACGGAACTTGGGTTCTCAGGATGGAGGAAATGAATACAGAGGTAATATAGAGGATGTTTATTAAAAACTGCAGTGCTGAGTTAGAATTATCTGTCTGTAATTAATAAGTCATTTTAGCTATAAATATATAAATATATAAATATATATATATATATATATATATATATGTCTTTATTTATTTGAGTGAGAGAGAGAGAGCATGCATGCACACAAGTAGGGGAGAGGCAGAGGGAGAAGGACAAACAGACTCCACACTGAGCAGGGAGCCTGACCCAGGGCTCGATTCCAGGAACCTGAGATCATGACCTGAGCTGAAGGCAGACCCTTAACCAACTGAGTCACCCAGGCATGGCATTTTTAACCATATTTATATAGATAAAGGTATTTAGGTCTATGTCTATATCTATAAATTTATATATAACTATATACTCTGTATATAATTATATATGAAAATATGTGTCAAGCACACACACACACACACACACACACACACACAAACATACATGCTATCTCTGTCTATTGAATAGGACTAGAACCAATGACCAACCCAGTAGGAACAAAGGTCAGTAGGGCTCAGATTATGATCTTGAAATGGCTGATTTAAGGTCTTTGGTGCATTTGTGTGAAATGTCCTTGGAAAGTTTTGTGATACCAAATAACAAGGAAGTCATCAAAGAGCACTGGGCCATTTCAAGAGGACTCAGGGGCCAAATGTGAGGAGGCTTTCCATGGACAATAGAACAGTTTGAACTTCAGTAGGTATAATAATTACAATGAATGAAAATCCATCAACTATGTTTAAATCCATGGGTTTCTATGGATACCAAAAAAAGTTCACCTTATGAGGATCATTGGGGAAAAATTCATTATAATGAAACCTGATTTTTAGAATGGTAGAGGTAGAATGGGGGTGTGAGAGAATAGCCAAGCTTTTATCCTGCCTTTCTGTTGCGAACTGTATCACTGTGCAACCAAATTGTAGAAGAGGGGGTAGATCTCTTCATAAAAGTATTCCTGCCAATAAGTGGAAAAGAAGTGATTAAGTTAGAATATCTCCATTTTGCAATCCATGATGAATTTATGCTGGGACCTGGTAGAATTTGGAAATGCAAGATTAACTTAGAAGAACTGTGAGTTCTAGTGATTGAACAAAAGTTTTGTGTATTCACTGAGTATCAATGGCTGCTGACATCACGTAGAGAGCAATAACCAGATATTATCTGCTTCCTGACAAATAATACACCACAGTCTGTAGTCTTCCTGAAAGGATTGACCAGTTTCTTATTTTCCAGGAAATACAGAGGACAGAGGAACATATTTAGCTGCACCATGAACATGTACTCAGCAAAATCCATGTTGTGGGGAACTCTACAGTCAAGGTCAAACTCTACAGGTCAATGTATTCTTCAACAGATTCATTGAAGGTCAGTAAAAGGATGGAAAGGTGACTTATAGAGTAAAAGAGAAAAGGTCATTATTTAAAACAGCAAAACTAAACCATGCTGTCTCGGGTTACAAACTTAGATGATAAATTTATAAGAAATTTAAGGATGAGTCAATTATAAAAGTGAGGAAAATGATTACTTTTTGGAAGAAGAAAATTGTAATTGGATCAGGACACCAGTAGGGGCTTCAGGCAAAGTTCTGTTTCTTTAATTGTATGATGATTACAGGAGTATTTGTCTTCTAATATCATTAAGCTATATATTTGCCTTTTGTGGTTTCCTGACTCTATAACATATTTTATAACAAAAATGTTTTAAAAAATCAAACCCCTAGAATAAATATAACAAAAAGATTATGAAAACTCGATACAGAAAACTTAAACTCTTTGAGGTAATCAGACTTAAATAAATGGATGTCATTGGTCATTGATTGCATGATTCAATATTGTAAATCAATAATCTCCAAACTTTACAGATTCAATGCAATAAGAGTCAATATCTCTCGTGTGTGTGTGTGTGTGTGTGTGTGTGTGTGTCTGTCTGTCTGTATATGTCTGTCTGTCCGTAAATTCACAAGTTGAATCTAAAATTTATATGGAGATTCTTAAGGGCAGTCATAGTAAGACATGAAAAAGTACACAGTTGGAGGACTATATATCAGATGACATGATTGATTAAGCTATGATAATTAGAACAATGTGGTACAGACAAAAGAATAGAAATAGAGCTATGGAATAGAACAACAGGTTTGGCCCCTACCCAAATACATGAAGTCACTTCGTTTATGACAATGGTGACAATACAGTAGATAAAGGAATTTTTTTCAATAAATGCTTATATTTCAAAAATGGAAAAAAATTAATATTGATCCTTATGTCACGCCGTATACAAAAGTCAGTTCCAGATGGATTGTTGATCTAAGTGATCAGCAAAATGATAACTGAAGAGTGAAAAAGTAAACCAAAGAGTAATAGAAGGTCTTTTCAATATTTATTTCTGACAAAAATTTTGTGCCCAAAAAAGTACTTGATTGCAGGAAAAAGACAGATAACCCAACAGAAAAATAAGCAGAGCTTGAACAGGCACTTCACAGAATAGAATATCCAAAATCACTCAAAAAAACCATGACAAGGTACTCATCTTAATAAGGGAAAAGAAAAGAAATTTAGTTAAACATTTAAAACACAAATTAATTAATCAGGAAAATGAAAACCACAATGGGATACCACTATATGTGCACTGTAATGGCCATGATGAAAAGAGCTGATGAAAATGTGGAGCTGCAGGAACTCCCACGCACTACTGGTGGGAGAGTAAATCAGTAGTGTGGAAAGTGAAGGTATGTGTAGCCTAGGACCTGGCAAGTGTACACCTAGTATATACTCAGCACACGTGTGTATATATATGTCCCAAGAGGCCTGCAGAAGAGTGTTCAAAGAAGCACTATTTATATAGCCTCAAACTAGAAATAACCCAAATTCTGCTCTATCAAGAGCAGAATAAATAAATTATAACTTCATGCAATAGAATACAACGAAAGTGAATGAACTCTTCCTCCAAGCAAAAATATGGCTGAATCGCAAATTTCATGTTGAGTGGAAGAAGCCAGATGCAAATGAGTATATACCATATATTAGTTATCTGTTGCTCCATAACAAATTATCATGCTATTTAGCTGCTTAAAACATTCATTTATTTATTTCAGATTCTGTGGCTCAGGATCCCAGGTGTGGCTTAGCCAGTGCCTCTACCTCAGAGCTGTAATTTAGGTTGTCAGTGGGAGCTGTCATCTCGTTTGAAAACTGAACTGAGGGAGGATCTGCCTCCAAGTGTACTTATTTGGCTCTGGATGGGATTCCTTCTTTATAAGTGATTGGACTTAAGGCCTCAGCTGTCCACTGGCTGGGGGCTGTGACCTCCTTGCCGGGGGGCCTCTGATGGTGCGGTTCATGACATGGCAGCTGTCTTCTATCAGGGGGAGGAAGAGGGAGAACAAGGTAGGAGATTTGTCCCCTAATCTTGGAAGTCCCATCTCTCACTTTTGCAACATTCTATTGTTATAAGTAAGTCATGCCTTCCAGCGTATACTCAAGTGGAAGGGATGACATGAGAACATCAATACCAGGATGCAGAAGTCATTGAAACTCATTTTTTTAAAAGATTTTATTTATTTATTTGACAGAGATCACAAGTAGGCAGAGAGGCAGGCAGAGAGAGAGGGGAGGAAGCAGGCTCCCTGCGGAGCAGAGAGCCGATTCGGGGCTTGATCCCAGGACCCTGGGATCAAGACCTGAGCTGAAGGCAGAGGCTTTAACCCACTAAGCCATCCAGGCGCCCTGAAACTCATTTTGAAGCTGCCTGCCACCTGATGTGATTACATTTTTGGAGTTCTGAAGCAGGTGAGAAAAATCCATGATAACAGGATCAGAATTGTGAATCCTGATGAGGCTTCGGGTTGCTGGTAATGTAAGAATGCAAAGCACCTGTTCCAGAGGTTTATTATTTATTATTAATTTATTAATTTATTATTTATTATTATTTATTTATTATTAATTATTTTTATTAACATATACTGTATGATTAGCCCCAGGGGTACAGGTCTGTGGATAATCAGGCTTACACATTTCACAGTACTCATGGTAGCACATACCCTCCCCAATATCCATAACCCAACCACTCTCTCCATCCCCCCATCCCCCCAACAACCTTCAGTTTGTTTTATAAGATTAAGAGTCATTTATGGTTTGTCTCCCTCCTGATCCCATCTTGTTTCACTTTTTCCTTCCCTAACCCCCAAATCCCCCACTCTCAAATTCCTCATATCAGGGAGATCATATGATAATTTCTTTCTCTGATTGACTTATTTCCCTCAGCATAATACCCTCTAGTTCCATCCACATCATTGCAAATGGCAAGAGTTCATCTTTTGATGGCTGCATAGTGTTCCAGTGTGTGTGTGTGTGTGTGTGTGTGTGTGTGTGTGTGTGTACAAACACACTTCTTTATCCATTCATCTGTTGATGGGCATCTAGAGGTAGATACCCAGTAGTGCAATTGCTGCATCATAGGGTAGCTCTATTTTCAACTTTTTGAGGCACCTCCATGCTGTTTTCCAGAGTGGTTGCACCAGCTTGCATTCCCACCAACAGTGTAGGAGGGTTCCCCTTTCTCTGCATCGTCGCCAGCATCTGTCATTTCCTGACGTGTTAATTTTAGCCATTCTGACTGGTGTGAGGTGATATCTCATTGTGGTTTTGATTTGTATTTCCCTGATGGCGAGTGATGTGGAGCACTTTTTCATGTGTCTGTTGGCCATCTGGATGTCTCCTTTGGAGGAATGTCTGTTCATGTCTTCTGCCCATTTCTTGATTGGATTATTTGTTCTTTGGGTGTTGAGTTTGCTAAGCTTTTTATAGATTTTGGATACTAGCCCTTTATCTGATATGTCGTTTGCAAATATCTTCTCCCATTCTGTCAGTTGTCTTTTAGTTTTGTTAACTGTTTCCTTTGCTGTGCAAAAGCTTTTGATGTTGATGAAGTCCCAATACTTCATTTTTGCCCTTGTTTCCCTTGCCTTTGGCGATGTTCCTATGAAGAAGTTGCTGCGGCTGAAGTTGAAGAGGTTGCTGCCTGTGTTCTCCTCAAGAATTTTGTTAGATTCCTTTCTCACATTGAGGTCCTTCATCCATTTTGAGTCTATTTCGTGTGTGGTGTAAGGAAATGGTCCAATTTCATTTTTCTGCATATGGCTGTCCAATTTGGTAGTTTATATGTCTCTAGGAATGCATCCATTTCTTCCAGATTGTCAAATTTGCTGGCGTGTTGTTGCTCATAATATGTTCTTATAATTGTATTTCTTTGGTGTAGGTTGTGATCTCTCCCCCATCATTCATGATTTTATTTATTTATTTGGGTCGTTTTTCTTTTTGATAAGTCTGGCCAGTGATTTATAAATCTTGTTAATTCTTTCAAAGAACCAGCTCCTAGTTTTGTTGATTTGTTCTAGTGTTCTTTTGGTTTCTATTTCATTGGTTTCTGTTCTGATCTTTATTATTTCTCTTCTCCTGTTGGGTTTAGGCTTTCTTTGCTGTTCTTTCTCCAGCTCTTTTAGGTGTAGGGTTAGGTTGTGTACTTGAGACCTTTATCTGATATGAGGATTGCCACCCCAGCTTTCTTTTGATGTCCATTAGTATGGCAAATTGTTTTCCATTCTCTCACTTTAAATCTGGAGGTGTCTTTGGGTCTACAATGAGTTTCTTGTAGACAGCATATTGATGGGTCTTGGTTTTTTGTTGTTGTTTTGTTTTTTTTTTATAATTTTTTTCCTTTTTTTTTAAAGATTTTATTTATTTATTTGACAGAGAGAGATCACAAGTAGATGGAGAGGCAGGCAGAGAGAGAGAGAGAGAGGGAAGCAGGATCCCTGCCAAGCAGAGAGCCCGATGCGGTACTCAATCCCAGGACCCTGAGATCATGACCTGAGCTGAAGGCAGCGGCTTAAGCCACTAAGCCACCCAGGCTCCCTTCCTTTTTTTTTTTTTTTTTAAAGATTTTATTTATTCATTTGACAGACAGAGATCACAAGTAGGCAGAGAAGCAGGCAGAGAGAGGAGGAAGCAGGCTGCCTGCTGAGCAGAGGGCCCGATGTGGGGCTCGATCCCAGGACCCTGGGATCATGACCTGAGCCGAAGGCGGAGGCTTTAACCCACTGAGCCACCCAGACGCCCCAATGGGTCTTGTTTTTTTATCCATTCTGTTACCCTGTGTCTTTTGATTTGGGCATTTATCCCATTTACGTTCAGGGTAACCATTAAAAGATATGAATTTAGTGCCATTGTATTGCCTGTAGAGTGACTGTTACTATATTGTCTCAAGTTAGATTTTAGTTCTTTTATTTCTCCAGAATGGGATTTTATTTCTCCAGAAAGTGGTTCTCTAATATCTCCCATTCCTTTTTCGAGCTCAGCTAGCATCTTAAG